TATAGGGATGGGGCTCGCAGCTGTGATAAGGGGTGTGGTGTTGATGATTCCCTTGCCAATCTTGTTAAAGCGATTGCCCTTCTGCAAGGATGTCATTCTGTCCCATTGCTACTGCTACCACCCTGACATTATGAAGCTGGCCTGTGGCCCTGTCAGAGTCAACATCATCTATGGATTGTCCCTTGTCATCTGCTCCTTTGGGATTGACTCTATGTTCATTGTCATTTCATATGTCTTGATTTTCAAAACAGTGCTAGGTATTGCCTCTGGAGGTGGTCAGCTCAAGGCACTTAATACTTGTGTTTCCCACATCTTCACTGTCTTCATCTTTTATGTGCCCCTCATTGCACTAGCCTTGGTTCATAGGTTTGGGACATTCACTTCTCCTCTTCTCCATGTCACTATGGCCAATCTCTTTCTGTTCTTGACTCCTGTCCTCAACCCTTTGGTTTACAGCCTAAAAACCAAGCAGATAAGGTCAGCAATACATAAGGTAATCAAGGGCAGGAGAAACTTGCTCAAGCAGTGAAGTGTGGCCTTGGTGAAAAATACACGCTGAGTCTCTCTTCCTCTTCCATCTGTCTCTTTCTCTGTAGGAAGTACGTCATCACTTAAACTTATTGTTTGTGTAAGAATTGAGATATTTTCTTTTTGTCTGTCAGGAAGATGATGATATTTTTGTTATTATTTTGATTCAATTTATCATCCGCAAATACATGACAGATCTTCCTAAATTATTTTTTTNTCTACAGTGGAAATACCAGGAAAATTCCAATATTTCCAGATGCCTTAATATTTGTAAGTATCATGTTGGTGTGGGAGAAACTACAGAAACTTTTTTTCATAGCTTTGGCAAAGAAGACAAAAAATAAAGTAGATATGAATATAATTAAATCAAGTTACCAAGAAACAAAGAATTTTGAGAATGAATAATCTGTTGGGATAAAAAATAAAGTTTGTCCTTAATTTTTACTTTTCCTTAATCAGTGATTGTACATTCTAGGTCAAAGGAATTGTACTAGCTCTCACATTTTAGTATCAATTGTTTATTGTCTAACTCTAAATGGTTATTCATATAGATTCGAAAAACTCCTAAGGATCAATTCCTTGATGTAAAAAAGCCTAGGATTAATGCTGCCCCAAATGACTAAGATGCTTTATCTCTTCCTGTCTTAACTTATGATTAATTTTTTTTCTCCCAATAGGAACATTTTGGAAGCTGATCTGGACTGGAACCCAAGAATATCCCTATGAGATTTGCAAACACTAGCTGGTATCAGCCACCCACTCTCCTTCTGACAGGCATCCCTGGTCTGGAGGCTGTACAGACATGGATCTCTGTCCCACTGTGTGTCATGTACCTAATTGCCCTCTTAGGGAACTGTACTATCCTCTTTGTCA